TCTTGTGTCTGTGCAAGAATTATCATATTACATCGTCACCACTGCACCAATTAAACATGCTGAGTTATTTAGACACGAGGAAAGCATGGTGCCGACTGTCTGATGGGCAATAGTCAGGGGAAAACTTGATCTGTAGAGATATTAAAAACAGTGTGCATGATATTAATGCTAATATCGTTGATTGTAATTAAACATGTCGTTTGTTTAATAACTGTAAAACTTGGATTAATTATCTCCTATTAAATCACACTTCAGTCATACTCTGTGAAGAGGCCATATTACACCCTGTTATAAAGTCTACTAGAGCAGGTTTTCCTGCTTGAATGTTGATTATTCTCCTCATATTCTCCATTGTTGCCACTCCTCTCTTCCCGGTCAGTCAGTAACGCTCTGTTTACTTCTTGTCTCTATGAAGCCCCTCCTTCTGAAAAGCACACTGTGCTCTGATTGGTCGGCTGGAGCAGTGTGTTGTGATTGGTTGCGCGCTTCGTAAAAAGTTATTAAACTTTACATTTATTCTTTTGAAAAATGCATAAAATTACCATTTTTTTGGTAAAATAATTTTTATATGAAATTTAGATATTCCAAAACATTTGACTATTAAACTGAGAAAATTAAAGTCATAAATATAAACAAGTGGTGTTCCATGTTTGACGTTGATCTCTCAAAAAATGAGCTTTCCGTAAGACTGTGTTTGGTCGCAGTATTAAACGCTTCCACTAGATGGAATTCATCTCGCATTTTTGACCGCAAAGAATACAAGTAATTTTTTTTTCAGAACCTTTTCGAATAATGTCTATAATTTGTTTGTGCTCTCACAGCTTGTGCTAGAATCTTTACCAAGTTTCATACAGTCCAATAAAGTAAAAAAATTCAAAAATGAATATATGTGAATAGCACCAGATGGTTCAAATCGGCAAAAAAATATGAAAGGTTGAATGAATAGGCGGTATATCATTTTTATATGGTTACGATCGCTATCTAATCCTCTCAAACTAATTCTCTTGTTTTTAGGGATTAAGCCAAGTCCGAAGTTCACCGCTGTTATCCATGCAGTCACGCCGCTGGTCTCCCAGTCTCAGCCCATTCTCAAGCTACTGGTCTCAGTGGCCAGATCCCAGTACTGCGCTCAGGTAAGAGCTTCTTTCTACGGGCCAGATTCATTCAGGAAATCAATGAAAAATATTATCATTGTTATTATGCATTTTATTTTTAAGCACCTTTCCTGACACTCGAGGTCACCATACATCAACAGAACAATAACAATATTTAATTAAATATTATAATTCAAATTCAGTCCACTTATGATCAGAGGGATTAAGCTATTCCAAAAAGATGGTTTTTGAGTTTTGATTTAAAATTATTGCATAGATGATTCAAGATGATTCAAAGACAAAATCTAGCTTTACATTTACGTTCCCCAATCCCCAGCTTTAGTGCTTTGTCATCAATTTGTTTTATTAATTTTAATTTAATTCATTATTCATATATATATATTTTTAAATTTTACTTAATTTTTTTTTTAATTAATCACATTTAATGAGTGGTTCTCAACCAGGGGGTTTTATACTTAAAATAATTATACATCATTCAAATAATAAACGTCCACAAAAAGATGCAGTTTCAATAAAGGAATGTCTTTCAGAATTTTTTTAGTAAAAATGAATTTACATTTATTTTTTGTCATTTATGATTCGTTGTTGTTTTTTTACTCTTTTTTTATTTTTTTTTTTTCTTGGCAATTTCTACCCAATAATATACTAATAATTCATATTCATAGAGACACTTCAAACAAGTATTCGCTGAGTTTTGTTTCATTTTTGTGATGCATTTCAGAAAAAAGTTAACGGATACAGAGACGGCAGAAAACGCACCCTGTTTGTTTTCTTTATTTTACAAAAGCACACAGTTTTGTCATTATTATGAGTTTACACTAAAGTAGCCCTTTACAGTTTCGATTGATGATTTCTGTTTGACAGAAAATGGCAGCTTTGTGGATAAAATTCAGCAAAACGCTCATCAAGCCCACAGTTTATTCAGTCTTATTTGCATTCATTATAAGGTCCGGTTGGCCCATGTCGTGGGCTCTGACTCCTGGATTGAGGAACCACTGTGTTAGGCTTCTTGCTATCTGAACCTTAGGAAAATAATACTATTTGTTTAGGCAATTTGATGTGATGAGGTGGCCGAGCGATGTTGTTTTCCTCTTGAAGGCGAGTGGACATCTCTCAGTGTTTGAAGCGTCACACACTTTGCATCTGGACGCTCGGCTCTGTTTACAATCCTCTTAAACCTGCGAGAGGAGTTTCTATGGATCCAGAGCCTCCTGAAGTGTTTACCAGCCCAACGTATTGATTCCTCCCTCTCTCAGAGAGAGGGAGAGGATTAAACTTTTATCAGGTAAAACTAAAAAAAATGGAATATCTTGCAAGTTAATTTATTTCAGTAATTCAACTTAAAAGCTGAAACTAATATATTATATAGACTCATTAAAGCACAGTGAGATATTTCAAGCCTTTATTTGTTATAATTTTGATTATTATGACTTACGGCTTATGAAAACCTTTTCACAATATTCTAATTTTGAATTAGGGGTTTTCATAAGCTTAACCAAAATTATAACAAATAAAGGCTTGAAATATCTCACTTTACATGTAATGAGTCAATATAATATATTAGGCAATAGATAATACCTTTTAAGTTGAATTACTGAAATAAATTAACTTTTGCACCATATTCAATTTTTTTGAGTTTCACCTGTATATCTCATACACATTCACAATAATAATATAATACATTTTAAAAAATGATGATAAAAAATGTGATGTATATATTCAAACAACTGGCCCTCAAAAACCACACATAAGAAATCTTTAAAACACCAAATATCACAAAAAAAAAACATTTCATTTTTCAGAATGCAGTTTGTAAAATGCAAATTCGATATTGATTCTTCATCTAAAGAAAGAGAGAGAGAGAGGTGTTTTTTATGTTTTTTTTTTATTTATTTTTTTAGATTATCCCATCCTGCTTGATTTAAGTTATGTTACAAATTGATTTTACAAATCACTTTTGACTTGTTGTTTGTATTGTTTATGGTGTTGTTTTTCCTGTTTACAATTGTGCATTTTATTATTGTAAGGTGTCCTTGAGTGTCTTGAAAGGCATCCACAAATAAAATGAATTATTATTATTATTATTATTATTATTATTATTATTAGAGTTAAATGCAACATGTCTCGAGTGATTGCGTGAAGCATGTCACACAGACACACACACACACACACACACACAGAAAGCTGGCAGTGTTCTCAGACTGTCTCCTCCACGGGAGGGCTTGAAAAGACTCGAGCCGAAGAAATGGCTTGGCTTTGTTTCTGAGGCGGAGCTGAATCTTCTCCAGCTGAAGTGCAGGGATGGGAATAGCAGTACTAGGCTCCTTTAGCTACAATACATCACCCTGAGTCTTCGTACAGAGGAAGGAGGGATATAAATAAACGAGAAGAGAACGACGGGCGTCTTTTGTGCTGGCTGTGGCAGATTCTGAGACTGCGAATCGGACCCACCGCTGAGAATCTCCGCGTGTTCCTCCACCTCCACAACTGAGAGATGCTGTGTGCATTTAAAGACACAAATAAAAATATACACTTAAGTTAGACGTGTGAAAAGCTACTTTCAGGGCGCCTGCAGGTCCTTAAGTCTTAAAGTGCTTTGCATGTTGAGGTCATAAAAGGAAAAAAACATAATATAGTCAAAATGAGACGTGTTTCATAACTATTCTCAATCAATTAGAATTAGTTCACTTTAAAAATAAAACTTTTGCTGATAATTTACTCACCCCCATGTCATCCAAGATGTCCATGTCTTTCTTTCCTTCCACAACCTTAATTTCACCAAAAGAAATAAAAGTTTTTAATGAAAACATTCCAGGATTTTTCTCCATATAATGGACTTCAATGGGGTCCAAACGGTTCAAGGTCCAAATGAGAGTTTCAGTGCAGCTTCAAAGGGCTTTAAACGACACCAGACGATGAATAAGGGTCTTATCTAGCGAAACCATAGTCATTTAAAAAAAAAAAAAAAACTTTAAGTTTAATAAGCACGAATGCTCGCCTTGCTCTGTTCTGTGATGCACGTTTGTGGCTCCTGTTCAAATTCATTTATCAAAATGAACAAATCTTTTTTCGAGTCATTTCATTCAGCTTCAGAATCATGAATATTGTTATTCTGGTGTCACCATTGTCCTTGAGTTACAAGTACCGCAATAATATCGGATCGTGAGTTCAGTATCGTCATATGTATCGAATCGTGACATGAGGGTATCGTTACACACCCCTAATCGACATGTCTCTCAGTTTTCCTCTGGCCTAAAAAAAGCTGTCCAATCAGCGAACAGAGGGCGGGCTAAGAGCCGTGACGTAGACGCTAAAACGCCACGTTTAAGATTGTATTCTAGGTTAGGGAAATCGAAACGACCGCGGATATGGAGACACGGGATGCAATTTGCTCTATTGTCGAGAATATTGCTGGCATTTGCAAACTGAAGCCGAACAAGAAAAGTGTTAAACATTTTGAATGGAGGTGATGTTTAAGTTGGAGTGAGAGGTGATTGGTGAACCAATGATTTATACTGCTTTTATACAATGATTCATACAGTACAAGCCAGGCGAGAAAGAAAACACTTTTTAATTATGCCATTCCAGACTCTGTATACAAAACAAAGCGAAGTAGCAGAGTTTGGTATTACCAGGCTACAGATTGGTTACCACACCTTAAAATGTTGTTCAGATGTTGTATTTCAAGACATTTGTCAGATAAATTTGTCCTTAAAACGCTTGTGTGTGTGTAGGACTAGTTTCTTAACTGCCTCCGTTTGCTAATTAAAAAAAAATTTTAGAGCTAGTAACCAAGGCTGATTATTATTATTATTATTCGACAGCAGCGTCTCTACAAATAGTGAAACGTAAGTTTATCTGCTTCAAGAACAGCACTGTTATTTCCTTGAAAGTGAGAAACTTTGCTAAAGTTGCTAAACTATTTTACTGATGAAATCATCAGAGCAGCGCTGACAACACGTTTCTTTGCGAATGTATGTCTGTTCTTTGTGTGTTTTTTAGCTTTCTGTGCATAATAATGTAATTTTTTGGCAAAAACGTGTTTTTTAGCCTTTTGTTTACTATGACCACGTAAATGTCGCTGTGGGTTTGGGTTCTTTTGCTGCCATCGGCTGTAAAGACCTTTTAAAATTACTGAAATCATTTGGCGTAGTGATATAGAACTGTAATGCGATCAAAACCTGCCTGGAACTACTTTATCTGTGCATTTCCCTGAAAATAATTGCGCACCTTAGAATGTCCGTCAGCCAGCCAATCAGAATCGAGCATTCACCAGCACTGTAGTATAATATTTAACCTGTTTTACTATATAAATGTGCCATGTTATCATCTTCTACATGTTTCGCATTTTCCCCCCATGCAAAAAAGAGTAAATGTGTGCATATTTAAACTATATTTGCAAATATTTACATTTAGACCTAGAACTTTTTTTTGGTCCTTACGCTAAGACATGGTTACAGCCTTGAATCATGACAGTGTTTATGTTTTAAATAGTTTTAGGAAGGATTATAATTTTTTGGGCACTCTAAGCCATTATGTATATGAATCTCTAGAAACCGCGGTTATCACTGAGAGTCGGATCACCCCAGGCTTCACTCACAATCTGTCTGCATGCTTTAGCTAAATCCAATGCCGGTCCAAGATATCAAAAAATCCAACCTTCGGGCTTTGTTTTGTTTCTAAGAGTTTAAGTAGTTTAATTATGTCTCTGATCTTATTATAGATTAGGTTTGAAGAGGCCTGATCCTCCTGCATGTAATATCATTAGACGCTCTTCTGTTCTGTGCTTTGAGAGTGGCGTGAATCTGCTATTGCAAGTTAATGAAATGAAAGATGCGGTTAAGTAAAAGCCTGGATGGATGTTTATATCTCCAGTGCATTAATATAAATATAGTGCTTTAATCATCAGCTCTTGCGTGTGGGAAAAATGGTGCCTATAAAGCAGCAGTCGAGTCTGGATCTTTCCCAACGCATATAATATTATGCAGATGTTATACTAATTTCAGTGCATTTTAATAATTTTTTTTTTAATTACATTTTTCACAGAAAAACTAAATAAGATTTGTATATAATGTGAATTGTAGCATATAAATTATATTAAAATACATTTAAAAAGTAATAAAATAAAAATGAAATTAATTTACATAATAAATGTTACATAAAGTTGCACTCGTTAATCAAAACTGACACAGAAAAATAAATTAAGATTTAAATATAATAAACGTTATATTCATTCAAAAAAATTTTGTGTGTATTACTATTGGGAAAAGTTGCACTTGTTAACAATAAAGTCCCACAGAGAAAAAACAAGATTATACTAAAAAAACACATTTTTTATATTAAAGTAATAAAATAGTGTTAATTTTAATTTAAATATAATACATTCTTTATTCATTTCAATAAAGTAATTTCAATAAAAATATTTCTTTTTTTTATTGGCGAAGGTTTATAATCCTTATGTTTTTATTTCATGACCAGAGAGAATCTCAATGATATAAAATCCTTATGCATTTATTTTTCTTGTGGATATTCTTAACAAGCTGATTCAGTTTTGTTGTTCTGATCGGTTTTGTTGTAGGCTACTTGTGTTTTAAATTAAATTTAATTTAAATATTCACATCAATACATTTTACTATTTTATTTAAATGTATGATAGGGTAAACTTCATAAACCTGATGAGCAAGCCCGGGTCTTCCTCTTTCAAAGTCTTTCATTGCTTTTCTGTCAGCTTATTCGTGTTTTGATGTCAAACCTGATCACTTCAGCGTTTTAAATCCTCATTTATATTCATTTATTTATTTTGTGGTTTGTAGAAGGTGCCGATTTTTGATAGTCTATCAGCGTTTGGTTCTCTTCATACCCCGAGTGTTGGGTCGAGTCCAAACACTCCAGCGCTCTTAATGAGTTATTTAACCCGGCTCTGAGAACAAACTGACTTCTAAATCACACACACTCTCTGCATGAAACATTTATGAGTGTTAACGTAAAACCAGAGCCAGTCGCTTCAGCTGGAGGTGTAATCACTCAAAGACACTTGAAAGTGACAAAACAAAATGAATATAAAACCCTCACGGCTTTTACAAGCTGTAAACTGAAAGCGACACCGCATCCCTGTAACGCTGTCAGGTTTGGGACGCATGCGAAAACCACACACACCATCATAAAATACATGAGCTTGTTTGAGGTCGACTTGTTTGACGTGTGGCTTTGTGTGATTGTGTCATAACATGACATGTAATATGTTTTGTGTTATAAGTGAGGCATCAGTGATAGAAATGTATAACTTTTGGAAGTCTGTGTGTTGCTGATCTCTCTTTCTTTCTGTTTTCCTCAGATTATTGTGTTGTGGAACTGTGACAAGCCTTTGCCTGCCAAGCATCGATGGCCGGCCACGTCAGTGCCCATTATTGTCATTGAAGGAGAGAACAAGGTGATATGAAGTTTCTGTCATCGTTTTTCATCTCATGAAACTTAAATATGCCCATTTCATTTGTTTTTCTTTTGCACATTAAAGGGATAGTTCACTTAAAAATTAAAACTCAGTAATTACTCTTCCTCATGTTGTTCAACCCCGTAAGACTTTCGTTCATCTTCAGAACACAAATTAAGATATTTATTAATCAAATCTGAGAGCTGGATCACTCCTCCATAGCTATTGAAACTTGCCGGCTCAGAAAGTTAATAAAGACATTAGGGCTGGGTAATAAATATCGATTTCTCGTTATAAATCGATTCTCATTTTTACGAACCGATATCGATTCTTAAATCTCAAGAATCGATTAGTCATCCTGTTTCATTTGAATGAATGGGACATTGTATCGCGGCTGCGCGCATCCAAAAAATCGCAATAATCTTTGTCCTTTGTTACTATTGATATGAAACAAAGTCTCAATTTTCAAGTTGCGTCCATTTTCTTTAGAAATTCAAAAACATAATGTTCTTCAATATTTAATGCATATTTGAATAAATCTGGCAAGTTTTTATGACAGCCACCATTTAAATGTTTATATTTCATATAATCTTCTTATTATAAAAATAAATAAAAGTGTAATTTAAGTGTTTGTATAGCTACAAAACAGTTAATTATTACCTTCATATTAGGCTAATGAAGCCTATAGGCTACAACTAGACTCCCATAGTTTACTTTACAGCATTAGTTAAGAGATTTGATTTCCTCGAGAAAATTTGCCATTTATTGTAACTGATATCCAAAATAATCAATATTGAATCGAATCGGAATGGAAATCGAATCGAATTGCGAGCTTGTGAACCGAAATCGAATCGAATTGTGAAATTTGTGTCAATACCCAGCCCTAAAAGACATCATTACTCACTCTGGGCCCGCGGAGAAGAACATGAAGAGCTGAATAAAGTCATTATTTCTGTTTGTTTTTTGCGCACAGAAATTATTCTCGTCAAGTATAATCTTAAAGGTGCTGTATCAGCTTGACTGAACTAATGCTCCATGCTCATTTCAGTGTAACAGTAAGATCGTAGGAAGTAACATTACTGTACTGGACGTGTCTGGAAATGTGTATTATAGATAATATGATAGTAGTGGATGAGTGACGTTAGACAGTAGATCTAGTACATAAAATAAGTTACGTCCTAAAGCACCGACTTTTTGTTATCCTGGAACAGTCTTTTGTGTTCATTTCACGTCTCATTTATGTTGTAGTCTACCTTGCTATTTCATTACACTTTATTTCAGCAGATCTGAAAACTTATTCATCACAATATTTAGATAAAAATAAAAATAGCGGCGGTCTCTCCATAATTCAAATGCTCTGCCGATGTTGATCCTTGTTTTCGTCCTAAGTCGATCCGATTGACGTTTGGCCTGACGAGCTTCAGCAGATACTGAGATTTTTGTTTCGTTTTGTTTTTTATATTTATGTGGAGTTTGTATTGGAGTCTGTGTTGTGCTGGAGGCAGGAGTGTTTTGGTGTTATCAGACTCATGTCGTTCGCTGCAGTGCCGTTGCATAGACTGTATATTTAAGGAGAGAGGCTGGCCTTCAAATGTAAAAAAAGGTTTATGGATTGGGTTAGTGTGTGTGTGTGTGTGTGTGTGTGTGTGTGTGTGTGTGTGTGTGTGATGGGCAGGTTTAGGGATAGGGTTAGTGTAAGGAGACAGTTTGTACAGTATTAAAACCATTACGGCTATGGAGAGTCCCCACAAAGATGGTATAGACGTGTGTGTGTGTGTGGAACAGAGAGGGACTGTGAGTGTTGTTTCCCAGTGTTTGGAGTGGAGAGGGATTAGTTTTCCTCTGGCTGAGGGAAGAGAGCAGTGAAGTAGTGCCAGTCAGCCTGTGGTGTGTACGGCTTGCGGCTCGCTTGTTTACTGTGTGTGTGTGTGTGTGTTCCCACCCAGACTGGCTGACGAGGAGACAGCTCTTTTAAGCCGTGATTGACAGCCTGGTCCCACACCGCACTGAAGTGTAGCTTTGGGCATTTTCCGTATTAAACACTCGCGTTCTTCCCGAATCCGAGGTCCTGCAGAGCAAGCTGTGTGTTTCAGACTCTCGACTGCCTTTCAGAGAACAACAACGTCAACTACATGTAGAGAAGTGCTTTATTTCCTGTGTGACAGTCAAAGGGAAATTAAATAGGGCGGGACTTGATTTATAGCAATTCGGGATTTGATTGCATTTGGAAGTTATTTTGTGAATATTAAATATTATACTTTGTGCAAGCTCGGTTATATCAACACAAAGTTTAGTGCAATGAGGATGTTTTATTTATACATTTATATTAATATCCTCATTGCACCAAATGTTGTGTTGATGTGTGTGTGTGTGTATATATATATATATATATATATATATATATATATATATATATATATATAAACAAACAATCATATTTTCTTTTTAATTCTGCACAATAAATGCATGAAAGTTTTTCTTAGTGTGTGTGTGTATATATATGTGTTTATCATTGTGCAAAATTAAAAAGAAAATATAATTCTTAATCTACATAATTAATTTTTTATGTTTTTAAGCAAATTCTTATTAGAGAATTTTAGTAGTGAAGCACAGAAATATTTTTATTTACCTGACAGTTTAGCTAGCATATTTACCTGTTCTACACAAAACTATTTATTTATTTATTTATTTATTTATTTTGCAGTTTCAGCTGAATATTTTCCATTGCAGAAATTTGTGTACATTTCTGCATTTTTGCACCAAACTGAATGTTTTAGAGGTGGCAAATGATTGTTTCCAAAAAGGTTTACTTTAAAGTCGGCATGAAACAGAAGTTGTGATAGTCTTTTCTGTTGTTTATCCGAGTGAAACACTTTTGGAACAAAAACAAATGTGGGCGGGGCTTGATTTTGTCTGTGAGGATTTGATTGGATGGTTGTGGTTTGCTATTGCCTGATTTCAGGTGGCCCCGCCCTCATCATCAGAGAAGAGAAGAGGGGAAGTTAATCTGATTCAAGATTACTAGGAACATGAATAAAAAAAAGATGTGCATGATAATTCATTTATAATAAATACTGCAATATTGGATTTCTCTCTCTCTCAATTCAATTCAATTCAATTGAGCTTTATTGGCATGACTGTAAAATAGCACAATATTGCCAAAGCAATAGTAATATATAAACATATATGTAGATAAATAAAAGTGAAAAAAAAAAATAAACAAACAACAATAAAAAAAACATTTCCATATTATGCATAAATATACCACAATAGATTAAAAAAAAAGATGTATACAATAAGTACAGAGAGCAGTTTAATGGAAAAGAGGCTTCAGCCCTTATTCTCCCTCAGATGGCAGGAGGACACTCTCTCTCTCTCTCTCTCTCTCTCTCTCTCTCTCTCTCTCTCTCTCTCTCTCGCTCTCTCTCTCTCTCTCTCTCTCTCTCTCTCTCTCTCTCTCTCTCTCTCTCTGGCGTCTGTGTGTTTGAGGGCGAGAGAGATGTGAGATTTCCTGTTAGATTTAATCCGGTCTTCCTCATCTTTCACCTTCATATAGTGGCGCTGTCTACAGTTTCCTGCAGCACTGCTGTGTGTGTGTGTGTTATTTCCAGTTTGCTTTTGCTTTAACCCAGTCCTCTTTCGGTGCATTTATGAGTTCGACACTGTTTTGATATTTTGTGCCGTTGAGGCTTGATTTCGTCTGTATGTGTTTTGACAAAAGTGTGTGTGTGGCCTGTTGTGTGCATCTGTGACAGGACTGTAATAGATGTGGTCTGCTTATTCTAAGTCTCATATTGTAAATTTCCTCTTCTTATTAGTGACCAACCACACACACACTCACACAATAACCAAATATTTGGACTTTAATCCAAACAAGAAAAGAAACACACAGATAGACATGTTTTCCCCTCTTTAAAGGCCCGTTTACACCAATATAGTTCTAAAAACCCTTCTAAATGTAAAATAGCAGAGTTCACACTTGAATCAGCTGATGATTAAAAACATGTCAGCCAATCAGAATCCAAGAGCTCGAGCATTTAAAGGTTCTATATGTAACTTTTTTTATAAAATGAATCCTTTTTTTATTGCCTGTGTTTGAAGGGGTTGTAATCACACATTGCAATGATCCACTTTTCGGGTTTTGCTATTACCTCTGAAGGCCAATATTTATATTTATAAGTGAGGTCTCCGGGTCAGATTTCCTGCGAAATCCATCAGATGTGACGTTCATGCGCGCTCCCGAGCCTCTCTATCAAGTCAACCATGTCTCGATCCAATCTCTATAGTACAGTCAACCATGCGACCAATGGCACTTCAGCTGACGACATGGAGTCTGATAACAGCCCAAAACGTCCTGTCTCCAGCACAACACAGACTCCAACTCAAACTCCACATAAATATGAAAAACAAAAACAGTTTTATCTGCCCAAGCTCGTCAGGCAAAACGTGAATCTGATCGACTCCGGACGAAAACGCGGATCAACATGGTAAACTCTAGTGAAATAGCAAGGTAAACTACATGAAACATGACATGAATACAAAAGAATGTTCCAAGATAACAAAAAGTCGGTGCTTTAGGATGTAACTTATTTTATTTACTAGATCTACTGACTAACGTCACTCATCCACTACTATCATATTGTTTATACACATTTCCAGACACGTTCAGTCCAATAATGTTACTTCCTATATCTTACTTATACACTAAAACTGTTCAGTTTACTTCACTAACCGTTTTCGTTATCATATTATACATTCACCGATGTTGACATTGCTGATACACGGTTAGTGAAATGGCTTATGCTACATCACATGTCAGCTAAATGCAGTTTATTGTAACATTATCATGGTATGAGCAGAGCATTAGTTCAACGTCAAGCTGATAAAAGTAGGCTATTATTGTACCTGCAGTGGGAGTTTATATTAGTTTTCAGCATGTTGTGTGGATATTTCGGCGTTGCGTTGAAAGTCTCCGTGTGGCCGGTAATGAATGCTCGCTCTTGAGATCTAGCACACACACGAGCACGAGCGCTCTTGTTGCATTCTGAAACATCACCGATAGAGGCCGCTAAAAATCGCATACAGCACCTTTAAAGTGACGGACAACAAAACTGCAGCGCTTCTAATAAACCGAGCAATATCGTCTGCTGGTGAGATGCTAATATAGTTATGGTTATAGTTAACAGTCAAACCAACATGTATTCTTCAACATTTCTCACATTTTCACAGTTTAATCACTATAGTTTAGAAAATGTTAATAAAACATCAGAAACTCAGATTTAAGTACTTGACTGGTTTTGTCCGTACTCCGTACTTCCGTACAACTCTCACACATGAATTATGTTGAATATCTGCCAGATGATAAATGTATATGATAATTAGATAATAACAGTTTAGCTCAAGCAGTGAACAAGCAATGCTTCATGTTGTTCAGTGTGTGTGCAAAAAGAGCGTTAGCAATTACAGAAAACACACTTCAGCAGAACAACATCAGCTCAAAGAGTCATTTTTGGTCCCAAATGTTTATAGATGTTACTGGTAGAAGAATATTTGGGTATTATATGTCACAGTTTACTTTATTTTGCTCTCCTCACTTACAGTAATGGACTATAGTGTCCTGCACACACTAGTCCACAAAATAAAAATGATATCTGGTGTCTGATTCTCGGTGTGAACATGCTTTAAGACTCTGTGTGTGTGTGTGTTGTCTGCAGGTCATGAGCAGCCGCTTCCAGCCGTATGAAAGCATCATCAGTGACGCGGTGTTCAGTCTGGATGAGGACACGGTGTTGTCCACCACTGAGGTACACACACACACACACACACCTCTGTCACTGCTCTTTATTTCTGCTGATGGAAAGTTTCATGTCGAATGTCGTCTTTCTTTTTGGCTTTTTTTGGTGTCTTCGACATGAAGATTCATAGTTATTGAGCCTGCTTTAGTAACACATTTAATGCATCTCTATTAGTTCATTATATTGGGTAACATTTTATTTTGATAGCCCACTTTAGACATTCAACTAACTATGAGTAACTTTGCCGCTATATGTCAACTAACTATCATTAGAGTATCAGTTGACTGTCTGCTTAATATCTGCTAACACTTTATTTTGTTGGTCCGCCAACAGATATTCTACTGACTATAAGTAACTTAGCAACTACAAGTCAACTTGTTATCGTAACCTGAACCCTAACCTAACAGTCTACTCAAAGTCTTCTACAGCCTACTAATACTCTAATGACAGTTAGTTGACATGTAGTTGAAAAGTTACTTATACTGTAGTTAGTAGACTGTCTAAAGTGACTATCGAAATAAAGTGTAACCTAATATTGTTAATTAAAAAAAAATGGTTTTATTTATTTTGATGTATTGATTATTTATTTCAGCTGATTGATCTCAGCAGATCAAGCCTTTTATTGGGAAAATTGTATGTTTTTGAAGTGGGTTTTTTTTTTTTAAATTTTGTCTTGTTTTTATTATTTTATTATTAATAAATTAAACCCAGATGCTTGGTTTAAAAACAAAAGTGAAGTAAATTCAAAATTGTGTATGTTCGAACTTAATTATCATCTGTATACAGGGAGTGAGTGTTTGTGTGAGTGTGTTTGAGAGAGATGTAGAGAGTGTGTTGTGTGTTTGAGAGAGATGTAGAGAGTGTGTTGTGTGTTTGAGAGAGATATTGAGAGAGTGTTAGTGTTTGTTTGTGTGTTTGAGATGTAGTGTGAGTGTGTTTGTGTGAGAGAGTTTGATTGTGTGATTGTGTTTGATTGTGTGAGTGTTTGTTACTGTTGGTGTTTGAGAGGTATAGAGAGAGTGTGAGTAAGAGTGTGTTTGAGTGTTTTTGTGAGATTGTGAGTATTTGTTAGTGTGTGTGTTTGTGTAAGTGTGTTTGAGAGAGATATAGAGAGTGTAAATGTTTGTGTGTTTGAGAGATATATAGAGAGAGTGTGAGTGCTTGTGTCGTTTGTGTGAGCTTGTGTTTGTGTGAGCTTGTGAGTTTGTGTTTGAAAGAGATATAGAGAGAGTGAGTGTGTTTGTGTTTGAAAGAGGGTGTGTGTGTAATGCATAAATGTCTACTGTATATATCGATACAATTGTAAAATATATGTATTTGTTTATGTATGTCTACTATTATGAATCTCACGCATCTGTTGACATAGCCAATCAGAGGTCAGTTGTGTCAGTACAGTAGTCAGATCAGCTTGTTTAATGAACCGGTCCGAGAGATGGGGAACTCTCCGGCTGTTTCAGAGACAGACGAGCTTTTCTCTGCCTGATTAACATCCGCATCATCGCAGTGAACACCAGTGTAGATGTCGGACCAGAACCCTTACAGTGAAACGCTCGTATCATGCGAGGACTGAGATTAAACACAACCTATCAGCAGATCTGGAGACCACCATTAATCATCTCAAATCCACCTTTTCATCCCTCGTTCCTCCTCTTCTCCACTTCGTTCTGTCCGTTCCTCATCAGAGTCAGCTGAAGTCCAGTCTTTCCTTTAATCATGTGTTATCTCGACCACACTGCAGGAGAACTCCAATTACTCTCTCTCTTTCCTCAACCGCGTTTATATAGCAGGAGCCGTACATGTCCTGCCGGCGGAGATACGCTGTATAAACTCAGTGTGTGTGTGTGTTTCAGTTCTGCTGACTTCAGATCTGCCGCTCACACTATTGATGTGTTTCAGTAATTATGTGTTTAAATGCTTTGATCTTGGAAAAGGAGGGCATCTTCTCAGCTGGCAGCTTTGAAAGCGTGGATCTTTGTGTCTGGCTTTTATCATGAGAAAGCTTTCATTCTTTATTCGTTCCTTCCCTTGTGTCCTGTAACAAATCCTTCCCTCGTTGGTCAAAATGACCCGAAGCCCTAAAATTATACTTTTTTTTCTTAATATTTTCTATTTTTAATAATATTTTAAAAGATAATATTTTCTATTTTTAATGCAAATGCTTTGAGTTTTTTTTTTCTCCATTTTATTTACCTTTTAAATTATTTAATGTAATCAATAAATAATAAATAAACTGCTCTTTATAATTTAAGCACACTACTTACATTTCAACTTGTAGTAATTCTGTCTATATGAATATGTCTAATATAACAATTTATATTATATTAATTTATATGAATTATTATAATAATATATTATATTTATATTATAAGTCTATCTAAATATGTCATTGGATGGGCTTATAGCTCTATGTGGAACAAGTGTTCCTTTGGGTCCTATAGTCATTTCGCTTCAGTGTCCATTCAGACACACATGTAGACATCATAGAAATCATTTCTTGGTAAAGTTTTAGCATTTTTAGTTTGAATTCTGAGCATTTTTTGGTGTTTTCTATGTGTACTGAAGCATTCCTCTTATTCCTATGGGGGTTAAATAGACCCACGAGGGAAGGATTTGTTACTTTTTTAAATTTCAACCAAAACTTTCACAAAACTCTTCGAATCCATCCACAAAAAAAAAATTAAATAAATAAATAAAATTGTGTATTTTTGGTTCAAGTGTGACAAAAGTCCTAGGGGTCTTTTGGTTCTCCTTACCAGATGCGATAAGAGTCCAGTGACACAGTAGACGTGACAAATCAATCAAAACCCACAGCCAATCAGAACAGTATGTGGGTGGAGTCTCGTGGCACCAGAGTAATCTTGATGGCAATCGCAAGAAAATGGATAAGTAGACTACATAATCAAATTCACAAGTATTACACCTTTTAACATGAAAAAGACACCGCGCGTCATGTGTAGTTAGGACACATGTGAGGGTTAACTCTTATAGAGAGCCGAAGTTTTTTTATTCCACCTGAACTGTGCCCTGAAATACACATATGATGTTTGTCAATTTAAAGGGGTCATATAATCGTACATGCACTTTTACAAGTTGATTGTACTGCAATCTGTGTTGGCAGTGCCTGTATACAACCATCATTTAATGATAAAAATCCACCCAGTGGTTTTGTTTTAATCTCCTTGTCCATCTATAGTTTCCCCTGCCTCAAATCGAGCCGTTCGACCGTGTGACATCACACGTTGTTGTTGTTGATTGACAAGAGTGTTTCAACACAGACCCGCCCTGAGCGAGCTGTCATCATAGACTATAGTCCATCATTGCTGATACACTGGAGCAGAATGGCGTCTAAGCGATTGTGTTGTTCTGTTCTTGGGTGTAATAACAAACAGAAATCATTCTGATGTTCCTAAATTTGAAACGATGAAGACGCAGTGGCTGAGTTTTGTTTACGATGGGAATATTCCCCACGATCAACTTCAATACTTTCTTGTTTGCGCGAATCATTTCTCACAAGAGTGCTTTATAAACGAGGATCAGCATAAAGCTGGTTTTGCTTTTCATGACCATTAGTTGTAACGTCAATCTGTCAATGAACTAACACATACATCAGTAAACACAGCGTTTGTATCTTACTACTCTATCCTGCCAGTGCATAAAAAGATAAATCAAAGTAACATTACGTTAACCAACCATTCAGAAACGTCCTCAAGCCTTAATTGTCGAACTTCTTTGCGGCCGTCATCTTGTTCCAGTGCGACTCCGATTCAAACTGATACGGTTGCACAGATGTGTCCTCAGAGACTCCCGCTGCCATTCTCTCTCCAAAACCTTCAACTGTTGTCAAGGCAACACTCACTCAGGCATGGCGGCGTAACGTTACGATTATAACGTAATACTATAGAAACAATGACGGACGTTAGCTTCAGTAAAGTTAAGATTCAGTAAATTTAGCTTCAGTAAATTTATCTTCAGTAAAGTTAGCTTCAGTAAAGTTAGCTTCAGTAAAGTTAGCTTCTGTAAAGTTAACGTCAGTAAAGTTAGCCTCAGTAAAGTTAGCTTCTGTAAAGTTAGCATCAGTTAGCCTCTGTAAAGTTAACGTCAGTAAAGTTAGCTTCAGTAAAGTTAGCATCTGTAAAGTTAGCATCAGTAAAGTTTGCTTCTGTAAAGTTAGCATCAGTTAGCCTCTGTAAAGTTAGCATCTGTAAAGTTAACGTCAGTAAAGCTAGCCTCAGTAAAGTTAGCTTCTGTAAAGTTAGCATCAGTTAGCCTCTGTAAAGTTAGCCTCTGTAAAAATAGCCTCTGTAAAGTTAGCATCTTTAAAGTTAGCCTCAGTAAAGTTAGCCTCAGTAAAGTTAAAAAATGTGCTGCTTTTGGGTTTTAATTGCGTATTTTCAGTCTTATACCTCAACAGTTTTTCATCAAACTGTGACTTTGTTGACTTTAAAATGTATCTTTTAAGTTGACAAACATCATGTGTAATTCAGGGCACAATTCAAACGAGATCAAAATATTTGTTGTCTCTCGCCATTGACTACCATGCAATATTTTTCCAAAATAATGTCCCAAGGTGGTCGACCGGAAGGGTCTCTATACTCTCTATAGCGCTGGTTTGGCGAGCGGCTTCTAACTCGAGCTTGCGTTGTCTTGCAGGTGGACTTCGCCTTCACGGTGTGGCAGAGTTTCCCAGAGAGGATTGTGGGATATCCGGCCCGAAGTCATTTCTGGGACAATAATAAGGAGCGCTGGGGTTACACCTCCAAATGGACCAATGATTATTCCATGGTTCTCACCGGAGCTGCCATTTACCACAGGTAAAGTGTAGAAACAGAAGAAACAAGGCCAGCGCCTTCAGCTTCAGGACTATTATGTGCAAATTAGTGGAGTGACACAGTTTTTGCTGCCTAAAGATCAACCTTTTAAAGAGTTTGGGCTGTTTTGGGGAAGAGAATAGACTTGCTGTTCTTTTTGACTTTCTATCCATCAAAGTATCCTGAAAAATAAAATGTATCACAGTTTCTTCAAATATATCACTGCTTTCAACACTGATAATAATCATAAATGTTTCTTGATCATCAGATCATCATATTAGAGTTCACATCATTTCAGAAGGATCATGTGACACTGAAGACTGGAGTAATGATGATAAATTCAGCTTTGATCACAGGAATAAATCACACTTTACTATTCACATAGAAAACTGATGATTTACATTGGAATAATATTTCAGAATTTTTACTGTAGTTTTGATCAAATAAATGCAGCTTTGGTGAGCAGAAGAGATTTTCTAAAAACCGAGCATGGTCTTGTGAATGGTAGTGTAGGTTTGTGTTTATTCAAACATTTCTAAATCACTGTAAAAGCTTTTTAGCATCTGAGAGTTTGTGTGCTTCATAGGAAACGATTTCTCACTTGGGTTTCAATTCAGTTCTTATTTCATTCAGCTACTAGTTAATTATGTCAAAATAATAAACCTTTTGGCTGTGCGTTTAAGAAATCCTGTAAAATCTTAATGACATTGAACTTGATAAATAATTGAATGAAATCCTGGTGACAGTTGCTAATGTCTGAAATAAAAAACAGGAACATCACATATCAATTTTCATAATTCTGGGCTTCTCTAAAATGCACCATTGCAATGGACCAGGAAATAATATTAATATTTTGGAAATTTTACTAATTTTGGAGAAATTAAGAGAAATTTTGGAAATAATAATATGATTATATTCATCAAACTTACAAAGGTACAAAATCAAAAGTACAAAATATATGCATGATCTTTACCAAGATGAAGTACATGAAGTAGTTCAAAAAGAAGCTGAGGGACTTTGTTAAAATATCACAAAATATGTATTTTTTAGCAATATAATTATGCATGTTTAATTAAATAAAATTAATAAAAATGTTGATTTATTTAAAATTAAATTTATTTTTATTTCAGTTCTAGTTTTTATTTATTTCCAGTTAATACTTTTATGTTTCAACTTGAACTTTTCAGATTTTCAATTAGTTTAAGTTTTTTAAGTAATATTTATATATATATATATATATATTCACTATTTCAATTCAGATAAATATTTGAATTAGTTTTACTTTTAGGACACTACCAGCCACCACAAATGAAGAACCATCAAATATGATGATATTGGGATTTCTGCAGTTAAAGTTTTCGTTTAGTTCAAGTTTTTCAACTGATATTTAAGTAAAATTTTATTTTATTTCAGCTTTATTTCAATATTAGGACACAAATATGAAAAACAATCCAATATAATGACAAAAAAATAATTTGCAGATTCCATAGTAACCTTGAAACCTGTCGCAAGAACACCTTTAGTATCACAGAGGGCATTACAAATATTGATTAAATATCCATTGATTGAAAGTCTGATATTGGGATTTCTGCAGTAAAAATGAAAAATCAATTTCTATTATCCAGCCAAACAAATAGTTTTCATTGTCCTATTGAGCTTTTGCATGTATGATGTGGTTGTCTCCGGCCGTCCTTGACGATGTCCATGTTTATAATTTTATATACATTCCTAATATCTTCCAGATATTACCACTTCCTGTACACACACCTTCTGCCCACGAGCCTGAAGAGCATGGTGGACCAGCTGGCCAACTGTGAGGATCTCCTCATGAACTTCCTCGTGTCCGCCGTTTCCAAGCTGCCGCCCATCAAGGTCACTCAGAAGAAGCAGTACAAGGAGACCATGATGGGTCAGGTGTGTGTGCGTGTTCCAAACTAAACTTCTCTGTGAGCAACTCAGAGTTTCCCCTCTAGAATGGACAATATTGTTTATAATCATATACTTTGAAATGATCGCTGCCGAGTAAGCAAGAGTAAGCCGTTTGCATGTCGGTCAAAAATGACCGATTTTATTATTTTTTTTATTATTATTTTGTTTTTTATAAAATTATAGTAATATATATTTTATTTATTTATTAATTTTTGTTCTTAGGGAATTTTATGGTATTCAATTATATTTATCCAGCACTTAATTCACTTTTTGAGCATAGACCTGAAAATTACATTTTAAAAAAAGTTAACTTTAAAATTTTTCACTTATTGCTGTGATACATATTTTTTTACAAAACACTTTTCCTCTAAAACTATGAGAAAATCAAAGTCATAAATCTAAATAAGTTGAGTTTCAAATTTGAGGTTGATTTCTCCAAAAATTAGCTTTCTGTCTTCCATTAATTTCCATTGTGCTCATTTTTAACCACAAACAATACAAGTGTGACTTTTTTGGGGGGCCGTTAACCTTTTTGAATCATGTTTAGGATTTTATGTGTTTTACAGTGCCAAAACAGATCCCAAGTTTTGTACCATTCAATGAAGTAAAAAGATTAGAATGGGAGAACATTAATCTCTACTTAATTCTAAGATATATTGCTATCATTATTATCATCATTTGTGTACGTTTACACCCCTAGTAGATGAATAAACCTGCACTACAGAAAAGTTCTGGATCGGTAAGATTTATGTTTTTAAAATAAATCTCTTCTGCTCACCAAGGCTGCATTTATCTGATTAAAATACAAAAAAAAAACAGTAATATTGTGAAATATTACAATGTGAATATATAGTGAAGTGTAATTTATTCCTGTGAATTTTCATCATCATTACTCCAGTCTTCAGTGTCACATGATCCTTCAGAAATCACTCTAATATGATGATCTGATGCTCAAGAAACATTTATGATTATTATCAATGTTAAAAAACTATTATTTACGTTTTATTTCAGGATTATTTGATGAATAGAAGTTCAGAAGAACAGCATTTATCTGAAATAGAAAGCTTTTGTATTAGGGGGGTATTAATCAATACTTGAATTAAATTGATCAAAAGTTACAGCAAAGACATTTATAATGTTACAAAAGATTCTATTTCGAACTTCCATTCATCAAAGAATCCTGAGGGGGAAAAAAAACTGTTTTCAACATTGATAATCATAAATGTTTCTTGAGCAAATCCTCATATTAGTGATTTCTGAAGGATCATGTGACACTGAAGACTGGAGTAATGATGCTGAAAATTCACAGGAATAAATTACATTAAAATTCAAACCAGTTATTTTAAATTGTCAACAATATTATTGTATCTTTAATCAAAAAAATGCAGCTTCGGTGAGCAGAAGAGACTTCTACCGATCCCAGACGTTTGAAGCTCAGTGTAAATGATCTGTATCCATGTCTGACGTTGTGTGTGTGTGTTCCTCAGTCATCTCGAGCCTCGCGCTGGGCCGACCCGGACCACTTCGCCCAGCGCCAGACCTGCATGAACAAGTTCGCCAGCTGGTTTGGCGGCATGCCACTGGTCCACTCCCAAATGAGACTGGACCCGGTTCTGTTCAAGGACCAGGTCTCCATCCTCCGCAAGAAATACAGGGAGATCGAGCGGCTCTGACCCGACTGGCGGCCCTCGATGGACATTCACCAGGGGGCCGCGAGAGACTCTCCGGAGCCCACAGGTCCACTTTCCCTTCAGCACACGAGCAAAGGACACACACTGCAGGACGACACCCACACCTGACACGCTTCCAACTCCTGCCAGGGTTTGGGTCTGTTTCAGGGTCGACGAACTGATGTTTCCCAGCACACGAGCGACGACAGGAGGGATGCATCATCGCGTTAGCACTTCCAAACCAACACGCATCTGGATACATCTCCCAATCCGTTTGTTTTCCCAGGTTTTGGAGTAAAGTGAGTTGTGCAAGTGAGCTTTATTTACACGTTTTTGAGGTGTTGCACTGCAAAAAAAAAGTCGCTTTACAGCACAAATATCTAGAAATTCTTAAATCAAGATGCATTCACTTGAGAAGCAACATGACTTAAAATAATAAAGGTGAGTTTGTGCTTAAAAGAAGTCAGAAATCCTTATTTATAGGGAAACCAAGGTGATGTTTTAAGCACTTCATTTTACTTATTTGAAGTCATGTTGATTCTCAAGGAAATTTGAGTTTGTGCTTAAAACAAGAATAAATATGTCAATGGAGTCAGAAAAATCATTGCTTTTCCTGTGAATGAGGATTGTTTCTGACTACACTCATGTGTTCTTGTTTTAAGCACTTAATTCATTTTCACGATTGATTTTTGACTTAAAGGGTTAGTTCACCCAAAAATGAAAATTAAGTCATTAATTACTCACCCCCATGCTGTACCAACCCCGTAAGACCTTCGTTCATCTTCGGAACACAAATGAAGATATTTTTGATTAAATTTGAGAGCTGTATAACTACCACATTGGCTCCTAAGGGACTGCCTCTTGACGGCCCAGAAAGTCAATGAAGAAAATGTTTAAATATTCCATGTGACTACAGTGGCTCAACTATAAGTTTATCAAGCGACGAGAATACTTTTTGTGCGAAAAAACAAACAAAAATAACAACTTTATTCGACTATTCCTTTTCTTCCTTGTTGGCCTGAAACGAGACTTCAAGACGATTTCCACGACGCATGCGCGAGAACTGAACTGAAGTAGTTGAAGGAGATCGCAATTCTCGCGCATGCGTCGTGGAAATCGTCTTGAAGTCTCGTTTCAGGCCAACAAGGAAGAAAAGGAATAGTTGAATAAAGTCGTTATTTTTGTTTGTTTTTTCGCACAAAAAGTATTCTCGTCGCTTGATAAACTTATAGTTGAGCCACTGTAGTCACATGGAATATTTAAACATTTTCTTCATTGACTTTCTGGGCCCTCAAGAGCCAGTCCATTAGGCAGTCTATGTGGTAGTTATACAGCTCTGAAATTTAATCAAAAATATCTTCATTTGTGTTCCGAAGACGAACAAAGGTCTTACGGGGTTGGTACAGCATGGGGGGGGAGTAATTAATGACTTAATTTTCATTTTTGGGTGAACTAACCCTTTAATCTCATCTCGCTTCTCAAATAAATGATCTTGATTTAAGAGCGTTTCGATATTTTAAATGAAAATCAAGACTTTATTTTTTTTTTTGCAGTGTAGAGCTTTTTAATTTTCAAAAGGCTTCATATCGATCCAATGCGGGTGAAAAGTTCACAAACGCGGAAGAAAGAGAGTGCTCAGATCCCCCAAACCCTGCAGTATTTGATTGCTTTTATTATTTTAAAACAGTGCCAAGACTAATGAGTTTCCTAAAGTGGCTTGTCAAACCCTCCCTATCTAATTAATTCATGCAAATCCACCTTAAAATGCATTTTTTTTTTTTTTAATATTAATTAGAATTCCCCAAATCCTCTCAGCCAGACTTGGGGAATAAAAAGTTGCTCATGGTAAATGAGCACGGAAACAAAGGCAGAGCTTACAGTGCAAAACACCATCTGTGTTACTAAAACTTTCTAGACAGGTCTGCATCGTAAGGACTCGGGTCGGTAGTGTAAGTGAGACGTCTCTCTCCTCCTTTATCTTCCCTGTCCCGCTGAAAAATGAGCTGTCCGTCAAAGTTCAATGGCACTCGTCCTCCTGTTCGCGTGTTAAACTCACTCACAGACGCCGGATAATTTATGTGATGTCCGTTCATATCAAGGGAGCGTGCGTGTGTCGTTCCCAGAGCTTGAATGTCTGATGACTTGAAGGAGAGCTGAGCTTTAGTGGCCTTTTGTGAAGGTGACTGGACTTACAATGTGCCAGCTGTGAGCCAAAGCCTTTTCCCGCTTTCCCTTCGCATTATCAAGAATACGGTTGGCGCTGATATATTTGTAGCTACACTACGTCATTCAAACGCATATCTGACACTGAATGTCGTTTAGAAACCCGAGCTGTTTTGCGTTGTATTTTGATATCCAAACCAAGTGAAAATCCTGATTGTGGCCTGAAATTTGTGTTTCGGAGCTTGCTTGAAGTATGTGAATTTCAAAGTCCCTGAAAGCTTCTAGTGTAATTGCCCTCTTTAACGGTTGCATTTGATGCGTTTTAACACACAAGGCCCACATCTGGTTGAGTTTTAAGTTCAGCGAACCAATTTTTTTAAAATTATCTAATGCCATATCACAGAATTAACGTGCATAAGCGTGACTGTATACGGCTGGATCTACATTATATATGCTTGAGATGGTTTTAGGGGCATAAATGTCTGTTTTGATTTAATATGTGCATCTCACCGTCTCTGTGCCCTCGCCAACTCCGTCATCAGGGTGTGTGTGAACCGCGCACAGTGGACACACTGATTGAGTGTTGTTTTAATTACCCAGCTTAACGTGACAAAGCCATTCATTTGCAATCGGCCGGTTGAATGCTGCTGCTACGACACATGCAAGATCACCAAAGAATCTTGGCAAACTCATGCAATTCCCTGTATTAAGTTGCTTTAGCGGAGTCACTTTTCTGTTTGTTTGCATCCTGTCTCGATAAATTTGCATACTAACTTTAACCTACTTGTGATTATCAATAAGCAATATGGATTGATGCTCAGATGTCACTGATCTCTCCCTGATTGTGCCTTTTGATTGGAGTGAGTCCCCTGAATAACGTCCGACACTAATAAGGATTCGACTGCGATAGGCTGATAACCGGACTTGCATGACCACTTTAGACTATTTATGAGGAAATCCTGGTTTGTTTTGGGTTATTTTTGTTCAGTTTATTTTTGTTTTGCTCCCTCCTGTCCTGACCCGTCATCCCAGTAATTAACAGATGACTTTTTATAGAGGTAATAAAGAAATTGCAGAATGCCAATTTTGTATGAATGATTTGTAAGAAAATGAATAAAGTCATATTTGATGCTGTAATGATATGACTTGCGTGTTAATATTCATAGAGGGGAGTGGAAATATGATTTTTTTTTGGTAACACTTTATAATAACTGCACACTATTAATCATTAGTTAAGCATGAGTAAACAGTTAATTCATCATTTATAAAACCTTAATAGACATTAATATGCAGTTTATAAATACAGCTATACATGTTTTTTTCTTGATTTATAAGCATATCTATAATGCGTTTAATGAGTGTATTTTCATACTTTGTTAATGATCAATTAATAATTTCTAAATGAAGTATAGCATTATTTACAAACCAGTTGTCAGTCATTCATAAGATCACTTAGAAAGTGTAAGTAAATGTAGTAAATACAGGTAGTTATAAAGCATTTAGTAGTGGTTAGTTAACTATTTTTGTGACCTAATCTAAAGTGAGGACTATTCATGCTTTGTAAAGCATTTATAAAGGTGATTTAAAGACTCGTCAATCTTCTAAACAGTAAAATGTAACAAACACAACGCAGTGATACAGAACATAGAAATATTTAACAGCCTTTAAAAATGCTTTACAAGGCATGACTAGTCCTCACTTTAGATGAGCTCACGAACATAGTTAACTGACCACTACTAAATGCTTTATAACTACCAAAATTAACCCTTAATTACAGCATTAATACATGTTAATAAAGAATTTATTAACACATTAAGTAACCATCACTATATGTCTGAATAATAAGATGTATGAATGTACATTTAAATAGTTTATTAATCATTTACTTACTCGCTCTAAGTAATCGTATGAACCACGGACAACTCTTAAATAACTGGTTCGTAAAAAATGCAATTCTTCATTTAGAAATGATACATTGATCATTAATAAAGGATGAAAATACAATTATTAAACAAATAATAGATATGCTTTTAAATCAAGAAGAAAGCATTTATAGCTGTATTTATGAACTGCTTATTAATGCTTTATGAATGATGAATTAATGGTTTACTCATGCTTAACTAATGATTATTAGCGTGTAGTTATTATAAAGTGTTACCTTTTTTTTCCTATCAGTGTACCTCCACATTATTATTATTATATTGCTGAATCAAAACAACCTGAGTGATTTACAAAGTTGTAATTTCAGGTCACCACTTTTTACTGTTTATCGAACCGTTCATGGTGATTGTAAATACTTTCTCATATTGTGATTTTTGAGGATGCTTTAATATCTAATCAAATCATTTATCATTTATCAATCATTTGAAATCATTTATTTCTGTGCTTTTTGGGACACGTTACACAAAGGAGTCAGTCGAGACGTGCGTTGGTTTTATGTAGATATATTAACACCACGCTAATATGCTATGCAATGTTCCACACAATATTTCCTGCAAGTTATGATTGAGAAACATAGAGATTAAAAGTAAATAGGAGCTATCACTCATGCAAAATATGAGGATTACACTTGCGTAAAAGGTTCATTTGAAGCACATCTGAGTGAACGAGCGCCCGCTCAGACCTTCTCATGTTCATCAGTTTGAAAATTGAATCCCAGGCAGAAGCGGATGTGAGTTCAAGCGTGTGTTATGAATGTAGCAGATTTTCTCCGTCCGCTTCCTTCCTTCCTTCCTTCTATCAATTTTGTGTCTCGCTGCTCCTCCACAATCTGTCTTGCCTCTGGAAACACCAGCGCTGATTATCGGTGCGTTCAAGCCTCGTCGGAAAGTTCGTATTTACGAGTGGGAGGCTCGGGATTGTCTGTACGAGTTGGAAGTGTCATTCCACAGTCAGGCTTTATTTAATGTAAATTAAGCTGATTGCCTGCATTGTATTATAATGATGTAATGATAAAGTTTACAGTGGCTTCATAAATTAAAAACATAAAGCTAAAAACAACTTCCAACTCGTACATCCCAACTTCCAAAGAGGACCTGAACGCATGTACAACACTGTGTGTGTGTGTGTGTGTGTGTGTGAGAGAGAGAGAGAGTGAGTGAGTGAGTGAGTGGTTTGAGAATGTGTGAGAGAGTGTGTGTGTGTGTGTGTGAGAGAGAGAGAGTGTGTTTGAGTGGGTGTGTGTGAGTGAGAGTGAGATAGTGAGTTGAGTATGTGTGTGTGTGTGTGTGTGTGCGAGAGAGAGTGTGTTTGAGTGGGTGTGTGAGTTTGTGCAAGTGTGTGAGTGAGAGTGTATGAGAGTGAGATGGTGAGTTGAGTATGTGTGAGTGTGTGTGTGTGCGCGAGAGAGAGAGAGAGGGGAGTGTGTTTGTGTGGGTGAGAGAGACGGTATGTGTGTGAGTGAAAGGGTGTTTGTGCGAGTGTGAGTTCGGGTGAGTTGAGTGTGTGTGTGTGAGAGAGAGAGAGAGACTGTGTGAGCATGTGTGTGAGTTAGAGGATGTTAGTGAGAGTGTATGAGAGAGAGATTTATGGGTGAGTTGAGTGTGTGTGTGTGTGTGTGTGTGTGTGTGTGTGTGTGTGTGTGTGTGTG